AGGATAATTCACAGGGTGGCTTAGTAGGCGCTGCTGCATCACGATGACATGAACACCACATTGAAGTTTATGGCTGTGGGACTGTCCGACCCCACTGCCATTCTATTGCTAATGGCTGATTTTGTGGTCCCTTATTTTGGGACCAAGGGTGTGTGCCTGTGGGAAGGGAACATCTCCCCCAGATTTGATTTCCCCAGCTTCTGTAAAACCAAAGACAGTTAAATCCACCCACCACAGCAGAACTCAAAATAATCCATACTTTAGCGTTAGGCCTACATGAAGGACTTCCCAAGTGCAACTCTTAAAAGGATGTGGACAAAGCTTTCACATTTGAATTTTGTTTCCTTCTGTGTAAAGAAGAAAAACCAAAATACTTTTCAAACTGACTGGAACCCCTGAGGGCCAAGCTCCTCAATCTGGATGCAACAAACCCCTCCCCATTGGGTTTATGGTTGCTTTGCACCAACCTTAACACTGGTCTGGCCAGTACTGCCTTTTGCTACTACTTTATGGCACGTAACACCATGTTAGGATTTCATGAATGGGAACTGAAAACAACTTAAATCTCTTTGCTTCACCTGGCAAGAAGGTCAATTTAGTATTCACATTATAAGCCAACACACCTCTATTTGAAAAGAAAGGACCCATTGTGAACACCATGTCCACTTGTCATCACAGCTTAGTGAAAACATGCCGGGAAAAGACACTATATCTACCCTCCACTCTAACGGGGGAAAAGACATGAGAGCTAGTCCCCTCTTCCCTTCTGTCTACTGCAGAGAAATTCTTGGTTTGCTTGGAAGAGGCACCAATCCATGCTCCTAGTTCCCTGGTAGCAAGCAAAGCCATTTTGCGTCTGTTCAGTTTTGTGGAAAACTCAAAGAATGGGAAGCACATTTCCCATGCCTCCAAAGAGAGAGACTTCACTAGCCTCCAAAATTCTCTTTAGGCTTAGTTCTGAGATGCCTCTGGGTGCCACTGACAGGACATACAACCACAGTGGGCTACCCAGCCAGACCCCTTATAAAGGTCATGCTCTGCATGGCCCTTGGCACTGATGGGGTTACATTAATGGGGTGAAAGAGCAGGTGATAGCCTCCCAGCTGGGTATACATGCTTTTGTGCACAGATTGTCAGTCACCTGGAATCATGCTTTTGTTCCCACTTGCAGCAAATCGTGGTGGGTTGTGAATGATCTAATGGGACAAGGGATAACCTAATAAAAACAATGGGCTCAGAATGGATCAAGCATACAATGATCACATCAGATTTGAGGGTCTCACTCCAGTCAGCCTCAAGCGGACAGGAAGCATGAATGTTATTAGTGTTGATTTGTGAGGTATCTTCCAAACAGCCAAGAGAAGAGTTAACACCTTCGCCTTAACGACCCAAATGCAGCAAAACCTGCCTTTACGCTCCCTCCCTCCCCCCAAACAGGTATAGTCCTGTCTCAAGCACTACCCCAGGGGTCTCCAGCACTAATTGCGACCTACATTCATCCATGAAGTCAAGGAAGACAGAGCAGGAAATAGCTCTTCAGCTCTACAAGCGCCATATGGAAATTTTCTCCTTGGGCCATTCTAGTCCTTACTCTGGACACTGCAGATTCAAGGCAACTTACCAGTAAAAGACAGGCAGCGAATTAAACCTCGCCCTCTCCTCCGGCCTTTAAAGGGAGGAGTGTTCCCATTTTGTCCAAGCAAAGGTCACCCTGCCACCTCTCCAAGATCCCGGGGCTGCACCATTTACATTATATTGAGCAGCTGGCCACAGGCCTCATCTTCGGGATGCAGCTGCCGTTCGCACAGACTACAGGTCCCAGCCTGAAATGTTCCAGTTTAATCTGCACGGCCTGGCTGCTTGCAACAAGGAAAAGCCTGGCACTAGGGACCTCCAGCCTCCATGGGCCTTGACTCCATATTAATGACGATGGAGCTGAAGTTCAGAATCTCTCCTGCCTTACATTTGACCAGCCGGCTCTGCTTTGGCTGCCCCTGACTCACTGGGAGTGTTCTGAGAAATCCCTCCCTGCTGGAGGTTACTCCTTCATGCTGCCCCATGACCCTAACCCTTTAAAGAATGTTTGCAGTGATCGCTATGCATTTGAGCTGCAAATCATTCAACTCCCCTCTCCCTTCTTGGGCTTCTTAGACATCTACTGACTAGGGGGACAGCTCCCAGACGTTCAAACACTGAGAGTTTAGGAGTCGCTTGGGCCTTGGCTCCCCAGAAATCTACGGGCTGAGTGCTTATACAAGCTCCTGATTCGAAGATACAGAAGTTCATTCAACGCAGCTATTTTCTGCGCCTCGGAGCGAGCGCAGATGCCTGGAACGCTGGCAGGTCTGTCCCTGCTCGGAACACTCCAGGCAGCCAAGTGCATCCACGTGTAGCTCTGCCTGGCGCCAAGCTCAGCCCAGAGTGCCTGACCCTTCCATTTCCCAATGTCTGACAAGAGGAGTTAAGACGGGCACCCCCGTTCTCCAGGTGCAGCGATGTGCCCCAAGGTCAGAGCAAGTCAGCAGCTGAAGGGAAGTCAGAACCCCGACCCCCAGAGCTATTCCGCCTCCGCAAACCGTTCCGCTTCCAGGCACGATGTGCTGCGTCAGGGCCTGAGCAGCCTGACTACCAGTGACAAGAGAGAAATGGGGCCAGAGGGTTTGGGTTATGGATGCCTGAGCCCCGCCCACTGGGAAATACTGTCACTGCTCCCATTTCTTCCCTTCTCGCTGGCTTAAGGGGTGAATGAAGGCTCTGCTAAGGGATTCTGTCCCTTCCCTCTACTGTCACGACCCCCACCTGGTTTAAGATGTCCAAGCTCCAGCCCCGAGCTGTTGCAGAGGACGGGTACCAGTGCACAAAGCCAAGCCAGTCCCTTGAAATGGATAAAGACATGAGAAAGGGCCACAGGGGCCAGGAAGTGATGGATTCTCACTCCCACCGTTCTGAGTCACTCTGGAGAGGGCCCCGAGTTCCTCCTTCCAACACCCATGATAAGAGCAGGGTCAGTCACTGACTCCAAGAGTGACCTCCTTCCCACCCCCGAATGCATCCCACCCCCACTCTGGTTACACACAAAGCCCAGCCTGACTGGGGTATGCCCACCCCACAGCAGCATCTGTCATGTCACGTCACGTCAGACTGGGTGCACACAGCTGTCTGCAACGTCTTAAGCAGCATCAATCCACGTTCTTGGTTCTGGGGAGAGCTCCGCAGCGGTGAACTCATCACAAGAGTCTGTGAGGTGCCGCCTTCAATGAAAAACAAAACTAAAGCAAAGAATGATGCCTGTTCCCACCCCCCCACTCCCAGTGGGCAATGGATCCAGTTCCAATGGTAGACTGGAGAAGGCGGCTGTGAAAAAGGAATCCAGGCCAGAACTAACAGCTGGGGAGAGCCCTGCCCACTCCCCCAAATCCTCCTTCACCCAGCAAGACGATAGCAGCATGTTCAGAATGTTCAGAGTCTCCGGTTACTGGGTTGGAAAAGCAGCCGCTGTTGCATCAGCCCAAGTATTTCAGATGCATTCTCCCTCCTCTCCTGTCCCAGCCACTTTATGTTTTCCGAATGTTCCAGTTATAATCTGGATTGTTTTTCTGTTCTAACGACCTATCCAGGGGCGACCTGTGATCCAGGGGTGACTTGGAATCATGAGGGGATTTTTGAGACGGGGGCGAGCGAGGGTCCGAGACTTGGGAATGAGGAGGGGGAAGCGGCTGTTTGTAATCCCCCAATTTGTCTGTATGGAAGGACCGGTAATGGTCTGAAGGTCCCTGACCGTGGTATCCCATAGGTGGTCTGTGATCAGACATTCGTCTGAAATCCTGCTGGTGGTAATTCTGGGGCCTGAACTCATCGGATCTTCGCCGCTTGGAATCGTGATGGTGTCTAGATGTAAAAAACAAACCCACAAAACAACATCAGCTCAAGAGAAGACACTTAGGCAGCCCTTCTTTCCCCTCCTGAAGTATCCAAATTCCACCTCGAATAATGCTGCTGGTAGTGATTTACACAGCTCAGTAGGTGTGGATAGCACCCAGCAAACAAACAAGGTGTCCTTTGCCAGGCGAAGCTAGGAACCTAACTAGCAGAGACTTGGTGTTCTTGGGAGAATGCTACCTGTGTGTGTCTCGATGCAGGGCCGGAAGGAGGCATGGGCGAGCCGGGCAGCTGCCCAGGGCGCCTGATGGCAGCTGTAAGGGGCGTGCAGCGTCCCTTACAGCTGCCATCAGGAGCCACGCGCCCGGCTCCTGCAGCACCAGCCCCGCGACGGTGGAAAGCAGCACCCTTGCCCTTACGGCTGCGGGGCTATGCACGGCCCGGCGTGTGCGCTAGCAGCGCTGGGCTGGGCAGCGCATGCCCGGGCCCAGGGTAGCAAAAGGGCTCGGGCCGGCCCTGTCTGGATGTAGGGGAGGACAGAACTAGCAGCTAGGCCAGGAAAAAGGAATTTATAAGCCAGAAGGGAATTGGACAGGGTGAGGGTGGTCAAAGTTATGGGGCGTGAGGGAAGAAAAGCAAAGTCACCTAGATACTTTCCCAGTGAGCTTGTAACACTCATGGGCTGGCAACCCCCAATCAGAAACACACACAAATGAAGACCCAACACTGGACTGTCGTTCCTAGGGTTTGGTAACAATCAGGCTAGAGCTGATGTCTAAGATGATCAGATGGCAAGGCCGAAATGAGAACTCTCAGAATGCCAAGGCAGAAAAGAAACGGGAACCCAATTCGGTGGCTAAGTCTGGGTTCCATCTGAATCCATTTGCAGCCCTCCATTCCACTGAGATCCCTAGATCCCCGTGGTGGCAAGCAAGAAATGTACAAATGGTTGCACACTCCAGCCAGCTGGCTTGTGATCATCCACATTACGTTACCTGTCGTAATAATCTCTGTGTCCCCTGTGGTCTCGGTCACTGTTGTACTGCTCATACGGCCTCTTGCGGGAGAGGTTATTTGGTCGGTAGTTCCCGGAGCTTCGGTGGGGGTCGCCACGAGACCGACGCTCCCCATAGTGGTGATCCTTGTACCAGTGCTGCTCATACTGGTGATGCCGTTCTCCACCCCACACCTGGGCGCTGTTGCCCCCATAGTTAAATTTCCGATCTCTCTGCCAGTCTCCTCGATCTGCAGTGAAGAAAACACAGGCCTGAAGGTTGGTCCTACTATCACTTACCTGCCCCGCCAGTCACTGGTCAGAAGAGACCATGGCACAGGGAGCAAGCCTGCGAGGTACTCAGTGGCAATGGTTTTTGTTTGCTTTATTCGAGTTTCCAGGCAGTAGCTTTGTGGGTTCTAGAAAGTCCCTTCTGTGGTTCAGATACAGCCCGTTTATAAGATAAAATTCTGAAGGCAGCAAATACCGATTTAAAGAGGAACCTTTTCAAGAGTTTATGGTAAAAGGAAGAAATTAACAAAAGCAAAACTGACCTTGAATATCAGGGGACAAAACCCTAATTCTGCTCTCCTTTATTCTACATACTCTACATTGTGTTCTCCTCCCTACAGCCTCTGAACACCTTCCACTCATGTGTTATACAATATGAATCATGTCTCTTGTGTCTGATTTGTTCTCCCTCCCCTCCTCTCCCTGGGAAACCCCCAGGACTTCCAACTGGACTGGAGAAAATCCCTGGGGGACGTACTACAGGAACAATCAGGCCTTGGCTTGGGATGGACAGGGAACTTGCTAGCACTAATCTTTTGCTTCTCTCGTCTGAAGGACCTACCTGCATTACTGAAGTGCCTCTTGTTAGGGTGGTTGTAGTTGTCCCGCGGGTGCCCATGCATCTGCTGAGGGTGAGAGGGGGGCAGGTGGAGTTTCTGAGAATGGGGGTTGGGAGGCAGGTGAGACTGAGACATGAGGGAATCCCGGCTGGAGCCAGAAGGCTCTAGGCGGAATGGCCTTTTGCTGCCAGCCATGTCCTCCTTCTTTTTCTGCTCCTGCTGAGAACAAAGGAGACGCTTCCAATACCATGGAACAGAAGAGATGATGATGCTTCCCCCCTTCGATTCCCCTCAACGCCTCGGGCAGGTTGTGAAACCCTGTCGGTTGCACTCTGAAGTAGAGTAGGAAGATTCCCGACCATCCAGAGACCCGCCTCCTCACTGGGGATTTTGCAACGAATGACTTTTGTGCTCAAGAAAGTAAGGAATCAATAGAGGCTGAGCCAGACACAGTGCCAGGCTGGAGATGTACAAGTTTCCACCACACCCCCCTCTGCCAACGCATCTTAATCCTGACAGTCAGCACCATCCCTGATTTCTACTCTTCCAGCGAAGACAACCCATGTGCCATCCCCAACAGGAAGGGTCCAGGGCGAGGCAACAAAAACGAATGGACGAAAGAAGAGAGGCACTTCCGCATGTGCAAAGAGCATCACATGACTAGCACTGTGTCATTTCTAAAAGGGACAACTAAGGAGCGAAGCTGGAGGCAAATCTAAGCCAAGAGTTGTCGAGAAAGCCAATTAAGGACCTAAACGCCCTGTATCATCCTGCAAGACCTAGAAAGCACTGAAAGTAGGGGTGTAAAATCCCATTTAATGAGTTAACCAGTTAAATGTTATGTTTAGCTGATTAACTGATTAAATGGGGGATGGGCAGGGGGATGCTACCATCCTTGCTGGTTAACCGTTTATATCCCTGATTGAAAGTTTATACTTGCAAGTGCTGGGGAGCTTATGGTGCAGTTTCTCAAACACAATTCTCAGGCAACAACAGTCCTTGAATTTTGACCCAAAGATTTATAGTACACCAGTCACCACATCCACACAGTCCTACTGGTACCCTAGCTTACATTGTGATGCTGTTGCAATTGCAGCAAACAGTGGCTAACGCTAGGGAAGAGATGCAAGAATTCCCTGTTCTATACAGACTCTTCCTCACCCAGGGAGCACATTTCAGATCTTACCTCCTCTTCCTGGGATCTTTTTTTGTGAGCCATTTTGTAGAGTTTGTGCAATTTTCTGGCATCAAATTCTGTGAACTTGGACACAAATATCCACAGGTTCCTAAAGGGATATTAAGTTTTTCTATTAATTACTAAACAACAGTTTCCCAGCTTATGGCTGTACCTGCTGCTTAGCCAAAGGCCTTAAGAACAAGGCCTCAGACTGTCAGTGAGAGAAGATCCATACACCGGCAGACTGTGATTTAGACTCTTTTTTTTATACCCCTCTAAGTAGCTGAGTACTAAGAATACACCTAAATTCTTAAAGTATAGGCCCTTACAGGCAGGCCGCAATATTTAGATCCTAACCGGTCTTTGCCTGGGAACTGTCAAAGACAGGGCTAGAGTCCTGCAACAGGGCTTTTTCTTGACAAATGTTTTTCTTTTTATCATCTTAACAGTTTCCCTTGCAAAATGGAAGGGATTCTTCCACCACTCTCCACGCAGGTGTTTTTACAACTCCCACTGCCTGGTATACAGGCTCATGCTGTGTGTGGAGGATAAGCTCCAGATGACTGATATAAAGGTTTGACGAGTGTTGTATAAGGAGAGATAGTTTTGTGGCTAAAACTATTTACACCCATTTGGCCAAACCCATTTTTAAACTGATTCATGGGTTCATTTCTTAGCTCTGCCACAGACTCCCTGTATAACCCTGGCTAATCATTTAATCTCTCTGTACCCCATGTCATCTGCAGTGAATAATTCCTAATCCTTAGCTGAGTGGCTTTTTGCAGATTGTACAAATGAGGAAGACAGGATAAACATACAGTTACATCCTCACACATCCCAAGCCAGTTGCATTGAAATGAGACGATTTTGGGCTGCTAGAAAGGAGATCCACTCTATCGCCTTCAGCTCTCTGTCAGGCAAGGACCCACTTCTTCATAGTTGGGGCTGTGAAATCCGCATTCCTTTATTGTTTTGTCATTATTTATGCTCCCCGCTTGTCTGTTGTTTATCTCTATGGTCTCGGTCTGGTCCTTTGATTGTTTGTCTGCTGTATAATTAATTTTGGTGGGAGTAAACCAATTAAGGTGGTCAGATAGAATTGTTAAATAATCATGTTGCAGAATATTGGGCTTGGTTAGTTAAACTGGTTAGTTACATTTCAGCAAAACGATTGGTTAAGGCAGTGTGTCGTAAAGTGGGCTGCGGGCCTGCTTTGTTTACCTAAAGGCTCCATAGCCACAGAGCCTCGCAGCTCCCATTGGCTCCGGTTTGCTGTTTCCAGCCAAGGGGAGCCATGGGAAGCGGTGTGGCCGAGCAGAGCCGCTTCCCGTAACTCCCCGTGGCTAGAAACAGTGACCAGAGCCAATGTGATGCGAGGCTTTGTGGCTACAAAGCCTCTAGGTAAACAAAGTGGTGTGAGCCCACCAGTGGCCCGAGACTCACTTTGAGAAACTCTGAAAATTTACCTTAAATAGGGAGCAAACAGGAAGTAAGAGGGGAACAAGGGAAAAAGGAAACTGGATTCACGCTAGCTGGAAGCTAACACCAATAAACGTTGCATTGTCTGCATCTCCAGTCTTCGGGTATTGCTGTTCTCTGTTCATGTGAGAAGGACCAGGGAAGTGGAAGGGTGAAGGGATAAGCCTTCCAACAAGACCCAATATCCACTTCACCTTTGTCTATTTCACTCATCTGGACTGTGAGGGGAAGGGCAGGCTTCACTTCTTTTTGCCATCTCCTTTTTGGCATCAGCCTAACGCTGTTGTATTTAGGGTCCCCTCCGAAGGCTGGTCAGCGGCCTTGAAAACAGGTGTTAGCAGCCTCCCTCCAGTTCCTAATAAAGGGCTGACGTCCTAAGCATCAGTCTATGTGTGGACACACATTTCAGCTTCAAAGGGGCTGTTTTGGTCTTGCTGAAGTGTAAGGAATTTGACTTCCGCGGCGTACATCTCAGCCCCCCTTCATCCTCTAACTGAAGTGCACAGGCCTCGGCACATGGTTTACACCCATTTGGCCAAACCCATTTTTAAACTGATTCATGTTAAACCGGTGACGCTTTTCAACGCAGATGAAGCCCTAGTCTCCGAGAGGCCAAGGACAGAATGGGTGATGGTTTCTGATCCCTTCCAGCCAGCTTGATCAGCTTTCAATAAGGTCTTTGCAACAGGCCGGGGGAAATACTGGAAGTGGGAACTTTGGTACATGCCTCCTATAAAATGGCTGCAAAATCCAGCACCCTCCATGAGAACACTATGTTTACCTAACCGTCCACAAACTAGCCAAAGGAAAACTGAATGGTCTGTTACCTTCTCCACAGCTTGATGTGCTCCTGGTCAGAGTAGGCTTTAAGGCACTCTGAGATGCGATCTCCAATTTTCAGGAGGCAGTTACGAGTGTGCTCCAGCTGTTCTTGCACTGTCAGTCCCTTATCTGGCTTGTCAAGTTGCTTCAGCGCCTTTTTCACTGGCCTCATCCTCTCTTTGCACTAGGATGAACACCACAAAGCAAACATTCATTTGTAGTAAGATGAAGGCCTAAAACATAAGCCAATGCAGCACAGGCCTGGTCTGAGGCCTAGCTAATAACGGACAAGATATGGCTAACAAAGCCAAGCTAAGCTGTGAGCAAGAGGCAAACCCCTGCTGACGGAACTTGGCACAAACAGGGCTGAGAATGCAAAACACTAATTGGTAATAGGCCCAGGTGCAAAACAACAATTGGTACCGATTATAAGTTGAAATCACATGGTACCATCAGCTCATTAAAAAAAGACCTTGGTACCCACTCCTCACAAATACAGACCCAGGTTCAGGAAAGGGTCTAATAGGACAGCATGATGGATAGAGATGAGCTAATCAAACCACAAGGTACAGAGGGATGGGTGGTATCTAAGTAGCATCAGAGGGTGGTAACCTGATATGTCAGCAGTGACATGTGATTTGCTTGTACCTGTATATAAAGTGGTGTCCTGGGGGGGACAGTCTTTGTATGACCTAGGGGCCAGTGGAAATTTCCCATTGACTGAGTCATTCCATTGTGGCAAGTACATGTGGGTAGTGGTTCAGTGTAGAGTCTACTGACAACGGTTACTGTACTTCACTTAACAATAAATCTGGCCTGGCGCCTTTGATGCTTATCTGGTTTGTGGTCTTTGGGGGCCCTCTCAGGAGGACCACATCATTGAGCACACACTCAATCAGCCTTTTGGTTATCATCAGTGACAGAGACCTGCGAGGACACCTCAGCAGTAAATCCACCTAGCTACATCATTAATTTCAGGTGTGGGTTTCACCCTTTCTGTTGACCTTCTCTCAACCAGGTGCTTGCTGGGAAACTGTTAAGTCAAATCCTTCATTCAGTGTTAAAGTCAGGAGGTGTACCAGGCAAACAGCAGAGGAGACATACACTATAAAGCATGAAGAGTCTGTCCTCAACACCTTCCACCCAACTCCATCTTCCTTCTGGAAACACACAATGTACTCTGCACGTATTGAGTATGAATTCTGCCTGACAGCCTAAGCCTAGGACTAAGATGGACAATGGACATGTCGCTATTTAGGCATTACAAATAAAATACATGGGGTTAAGACCATGGCCAAAAATCACACTGCCAGATAAAAATGTTTTTGGACTATTCCTATTCACAAAACTGAAAGTTAGAGGAAATCATCATTCTTCTTCTACTTTGTGCACACGACAGCACTTTGCACTTTCATTCTCTCCTTTTTAGTCTGCAAGTCAGTCATTTTCCCATGGTTTGCCTAGAACAACCAAGAAACATTCTGAGATTGGTGAGGGTGGCTGAAGAAACAATCTGTGGCAGCGTAGTGCTGAGTTTCCATTTACACAGGTTGGAAAGCAGTTACTGTGAAACTTACTGCAACAACTCAGTGAGTTTTACTGCAAAAACTGCAGAGCCTCAACAGCGTGCCCTGGTAGCCAAGAAGGCAAATGGAATATTAGTTTGCAGTAGGAGGAGCATTGCCGGCAGATCTAGAAAAGTGATTATTCCCCTTCGGCTCTAGTGAGGCCACAACTGGAGTATTGTGTCCAGTTCTATAGAAAGGATGTGGACGCGTTGGAGAGGATCCAGTGGAGGGCAACCAAAATGATTAAGAGGCTAGAGCACATGATCTATGAGGCGGGGCTGAAGGATTTGGGCTTATTTAGTCTTCAGAAGAAAAGAGTGAGGGAAGAGTGAGAGAAGTTGATAGCAGCCTTCAACTTCCTGAAGGGAGGTTCCAAAGAGGATGGAGAGAGGCTGCCCTCAGTAGTGACAGATGGCAGAACAAGGAGCAATGGACTCAAGTTACAGTGGGGGAGGTCTAGGTTGGATATTAGGAAAAACTATTTCACTAGGAGGGTGGTGAAGCACTGGAATGGGTTACCTCCTGAGGTGGTGGAATCTCCATCCCTAGAGGTTTTTAAGTCTCGGTTTGACAAAGCCCTGGCTGGGATGATTTAGCTGGGATTGGTCCTGCTTTGGGCAAGTGGCTGGACTTGATGACCTCCTGAGGTCTCTTCCAGCCCTAGGATTCTATGAGAGCCACAGGACATGCAAAAATTACTCTAGAATGACCTCCCTATGCTTCCAGCCCTTGTTCACACATTGCTACAGGGTCACACCACTTGACCTATGACTCTTAAACCAGCAGTGGGAACGGATAGCTTTGGTTTGAAATAAGAAGGTGGATAGTGTCTTAAGGTGCTGTACTGCCTCTTCTATGCCTCTTTCTGTCGTGTTCCCACCAGAGGGATGAAATAAGAAAATGCCTTACCAGTGCAACTGAGTGGCAGAGAATCTAGAGAGGAGATATTCCGAACCTGGTTTTAATACTATGATTGTTTTCTGGGACAATGACTCCCTAAGGAGGCCTTGATGTTTCTCCCATTTGAGATTCCCCTGTGAGAACCACCATCCTTTCAGCCAAGGAGAAGGCCTGGAACGGACTCCTTTTGCCACTTGTCCACTGTACTCTCAAACTAGCTGCAGGTTACCGAATGCGACGTGTACCTTTCCTTCCAGGGAACCCCCGTGCTCCCGCTGCTAGGCCCTTTGTCTCCAGATACTCACTATGCTGAACGTTTCCTGGTCCAGGTCATCATCCTCGTCTTCCCCAATGGGGATGGGCTCGCTCCCAGCTGTAATGTGGACAGGACCTTGAGATCGCTTCCCTTTGCTGCCAGACTTGGTCTCACTTTTGGGCTTGAAAAGAACAAAATTACACCCCTCTGACAATGAGCCCAAGCTGGGGATTCTGCATCGCCTGCCGTGGAGCCCTCCATGACAACTAGTGCTGGTGGCATTAAATGGCGTGCTTCTCTCCAGCCCTTTCACCCAGACCAAGAGTCACAGCACAGCTGAGAGAGGAAACTGGAGCAGGCACACTCTGGGGCTAACGTTTTCAGAAGTGGCACCCATGATTTGGAGTCTGAGCACAGCGGGAGGCAAAACCCACCGATGAGCGGTTGTCCTGGAGAATTAGTTCCTACTGGGGGTGGGTATCCCCTGGGAAGAACAGACCCACCCCTCCTCGCCCCCGCATGGCCTGAAATTCCACTGTACGGCGGTGGGAACTGTACACACTCAGAACCTCTGGAAAGGAAACAGCGGGGACCCCCCAAATCACTGCTGCTCGTGGAAATTCTGAGGTGCCCCAGAGTGCACAGGAAATGTGTGCAAGAGCTGTCAGCGGAACCTGTGTCTCATAGCAACCCACCCTGCGCTTCAGCCTCAAAACTCTCATTGCTCCGTTAGTTCTGTTCACCGCTGAAGGCCATGCCGCTTGTCACTGGAAGGGGACTTCCCCCTGGATTTGAAGTGCGCTTTGAGTTTTGACTTAGGATTTCAGTGGCATAATACACTAGCATTTCTATATACCTCAGACACCCACACATCACTATTACGGACCCTTTCACCTATCCCTAGTCTGAATGAGTCTGTGCCAGCAGTGACCCAATGCCCACCGGGCAATTTAGTTACATTTCCCACACAGCCTGACACTGGTGCGGACAGGCTCAACCTCTGCTGACAGGGGAACAGCCAAGATATTATTTCCTGGCCCCCATGTCGGGTGGGTTATGATGGATAGATTTGAAATTGAGAGCAGTTCAGACACAGCCTGCCAACACAAAGAGTAATTAAAGCCTCACGCCCTTTCAACAAGGGGCTCCAAACTCTTTTCTCGAAGCCAGCTGCTCCAGGATGCTCATCTGATTGGGGATAGTCACCTTTTAAATCAGTCTGAAAATAGCGCATGCCCTTTCACGCGCTACACTTCGTTCCCAACCCACAGAACAGGCCTCCATTTCCATCCTTCACTGCAGGTGTCCTTCCCCTCCTACTCAGGGTAAGCTCTCATTCCGAAAAGCTCCGGGTGCTCAGAGGCAGAGAGGCCTCCTTCTCACCCCCCACCAATTCTTACTAATAAAGGAAGCCCTAGCATTCTTTCCCATGGGAATATCCAATCTCAGAGAAACTGCTCTCCTAGACAGGTATTGGGTCTGAAAGTGATTGAGAGCCTAGAATGTGTCTCTAAAGGTTACATATTTGCCTCATACCTTCTCTTTCTTTTCCTTTTTCTTTTTCTCTTTATCGCCTTCTTTTTCCTTCTTTGTGGTTGACTGTTTTTCCTTGTTCTCTTTGTTTTCTTTCTTCTTCTGTTTCTTTTTCACCGGGCTTTTTTCCAAGCCATCCTCCTAGGAAATTAGTCACAGGCTCAAACGTTGTTCACCAAGTCAGGGCTCCTCACCTCAGACACGTTTATCTATAAGCCTATGTCCTGTAAGCACACCTCATTCTTGCTGGTCATTCAAACTTCTCCTAGGTCTAATTAACCTACATAAGCCCAGAGCAGCAATCTGCCCTGCCCCCACAAATCCTGCTTCTAAGGTGAAACTATCAAACTAGCATAATTCTGCAGCTGACTACCAAACTGCAGCTACAAAGAGCACTTAGCTAGTCAGGCGGCACAGCTCTTAATGCTTCTGACCAGTATCTTAAGAAACCTTAGTTTAAACTATCTGCAAAGCTAGTCAAAGAGAGGGTTTTATCTTGGTAAATTCTGACTTGACCGATGACAGGCGTTAAGAAACCTTAGTTTAAACTATCTGCAAAGCTATTCAAAGAGAGGGTTTTATCTTGATAAATTCTGACTTGATCGATGACAGGTAAGGACAGACTACAGCCAACAAATGCTGAAAGTGGCCCAGTTTTGGAGCCCATCCACAATGCTCTGAGCACTGGCTTAATGGAGAGGTTGGAGAAGGCTCCCCACCTCCTAGGTTCCCAAGTAATTAAATATGTTGCTGTGACAGGGCGCCTGCCCTGCACTGGCCCTTTAATACCAGGACTCCGGCCCGGAGCTGGGGCTAGCAGAGAGGAGGCCAGCGGGAGCTAGTTAGGGCTAGAGAGGGCCCAGCTGGCAAAGACCCAGGACTGCCCGAGTGGCTGGGGGCAGCCAGCTGAACCCATTAGGGCGAGTATGAGCACAGCTGGCTCGTATATATAGAGAAGCCCAGGTTGCTCAAGGGAGGAGAGAGGCCAGTGAGGGGCTGGCTGTGGAGGAAGCAGGAGCTCCCAGGAGGGAGACCTGCTGGGGCTAGCCAGCTAGAGCTGGGAGAAGGCCAGCTAAGGCTACCCTGATGAGGGGCCGGAGGAAAGGCCCGGGCGTGGAGACAGGTTACAGCCTGGCTTAGGTAAGCGGGGCCACGGAGATAAGCCCAGATGCCTATGATGAGCAACCCATACAGACTGTATTCTGCCCTGAGATGGGCTATATGAAGACAGTCAGGGGGCACTGAGGCGCACTGGGGTGTGAACCCCCTGACAGTTGCCCATGCAGATCTGCAGGGCCCCTATTTCAGTTTTTGCTCTGTGGCTGCTTGGGGAAGTTCCACCATGTGCTTTTTCAGTCTGGTGTCTGATGCACCAACACAATTCAAGCTGCTCTTTAAAAGCCCCTTCCACCTGGGTCAACACACCTTGACTTCTCCCTCTTCCGACGGGTTGTCTGAGTGCCGAGGAGAGGACAGTTCATTTCCATGCTCATCTTTGACTTTGGGAGCTTTGTTCTCTTTCTTCACACGTGGTTTCCTCTTCTTCAGTTTGGCCTGGAGGAAGAAGAGAAACCAGTTAGGGCTGGAAAACAACTTTTTGAAACAGAAAGACCATCTACGGGCGAGAGTAGGTGTCAGTCTGGAGACTGGGAGATCCAGCAGGCCATGGGAAATGACTCTGAGGCACTACATGGAATTACAACCTAAATCAGAGGGTCTCATTTTCGCTAGTAAGAGGAAATCCATCTGAAGTTTGTGAGTTCAAAGGACTATTCTGAACACAGAGTTGCTATGAGAGAATTGCTGGCACCAAGCAACATGGTGACAGGGCAAATGAATGAGAGCTGGTACATCAGAGGGCATTTAATGTGACATCCAAGTTGCAGTATCCAGGAGGGATAAAAAGAGCTTTATTTTGGTACATTCACTACCTATCTCCACAGTGCCAGGGCTCCTTGCTAGCTGGCACATGGACAACCCTACACACGCTAGAATTGTTCATCAATCCTCACAGCTCACTTTAGAGTTTACATCTGCTTCCGACAAGTGATGCAGTAAAATGAGAATCCAGGAGTCCTGTCTACTGATTCTCAGTGTCTCACCCATTGAGGACACAGGTAAAAAGACCTGAGCCTAGGATCTGAGAGTCAAGACCCACCCGCACTACCAGCAATGTTCCCTCTCATTTTTTTCTATGTGTTATGTGCACCGAGGCATGCACAGATGTGCACCACCAACAGAAACACATGCTGCTGGCTGTGGGTGCTCTGCTAATCAGCTGGGCAGCATTTTAGTCTCTCTCAGGTGGCTGTCCAAGCACTCCGCTTACAGGGAACGCTCACTACCCGCTCTTGGTTCAATCTCACGAAGGGATCAGAGTTCAAGCACATTCACAGTCCACAAGCTAGGAATGCAGGACAGAGTGTCCTCCTAAGCAGCGCCCAATCCCTTCTCACCCCCCCACCAAGCACTCAGCCATCCCCTCACTCACCTCTTCCCCATCATTCACATTTTCCTTCTTCTCCAGCTCTTTCTTCAGCAATTTCAGTAGATAATCAACACGAGTCTGGAGCTGCTTCCCCTGCGGTTTCTTATCTGTCTCAACAGGTAGGATCTTTGATAAAAACAAAACACCCACATGCACCTATCAAGCCTGGAAGTGAGCAGACATGCACCAGTAATCCTCACCCCCTTCCTGGTGACTTGGGAAAGGGAAAAAGCCCACATCTCTTAAGGGAACTGCCCTACACTGCCCTCCCAGCCACAAAGCCCCAGATCCTCACATAATTAGGTGGCAAACTCACACTAATTTCAATGGGAGTTAGGCGCCGAAATCCCTTTTGTGGTTCGTGGCCAAAGAGCTCTCTCACAAGTCTCCTCCTTTCATAAGGCAGAGTGCAGAACTCTACCAACTGGGGGGCAGGAGGTGGGGGACACCCTCCCCATACTGGTACTGAAGTGATCGGGCATGTGTGAGCACAGCCTGGTAGGAACTTAGATTGTTGCTCTCTCAGATTACAGAAGAACTTCTCCAGTGAGCAAGCCAACACATGGTAAAATACATCAAGGAGCCTGTGTTGCAACAGACACTATGCTCCTTGTTTTGACAAGTCGAAATTTATTCATGACACTGTTTCACAGTAGGCCAATGCTGCGCCGTCACTTGAGGAAAAAGAGCTATTTCTGTAAAGCTGATTTTACTGGTTTGTGTCTTTATAAAATGCAGCTCCACTTGATTGCTATCGCTGTGTTCTTTAACCAACTGACCCAACTAATTTAAAAACAGCAATGACATGGCCGGGGCATCTGTGTTATGACATGAGATGCAGCTGCTGTCTCTGGGTGAGAATCTTCAGCCCAGTGCATTAGCAGAGGGAGAATGAGAAGAGCTCTTCTGAGCCACCCCTGCAAAGAGGAGATTCCCATGGCTGCGTGTGGGATGTTCGTTTCAGTTTTCAAATGCATTTCTGAGCATCACACCTCTGGGCGCTCGCTTACACCACGACACAACCTGCTCTTTGCTTCCATGCATCTGGGTCTGACAGCTTTGTCTGAGCTTAGCATTAACCAGTGGGGAACCCTTATGCAACCAGCACCAATACACTGGGAAACGCTCTTCACATAAGGAGATTCAGATGCAAAACAAATGGCCATTAAAGACACACACGTACAGCTCAGATGCAATGATTCCAAGGCCAAAATGGACCACCTTGATCATCTCATCTGACCTGTACAATACAAACTTCCCCAGAATAATTCCCAAAGAGGTTGCAGATGATGGACCCACCACACCTTGCACTTAATGCCGTGAGCCAGTGTTTCTGATCCACCGCCTTATTTTGATATGTTTTATTCAGTGCATTTCAAGGCAAATATGCTGGCATTCAAGTAACAACGCTGGTTTCCACCAAGCACAATACAGCATTCCAGAGAGGCCACGGTCACTGTTTTCTTTGTTATTTAAAGTATTCACACACATAAACATCTGTTTTTGAAGCAAAGTGAACTGTGTTCTCCCTGAGGCTAAAGCGAGCAGTGCCCAGAGACCTACCTTATCAGTTAGCTTCAGTTCTGGATCTGATTTAATTAGCTCCCAGTTTCCATAGCCATGCTCATAAATGCCCAGCAATAAACGAGAATCCTCCTCCACTCCCCAGTCTACATCGAAATGAGCAGCTTTGACCCGGCAAGTCAGGCAGTACCTGCAGGCATTTCAAAGACGAGAGAGGTGGTGAGGGGCTCCTCTCCAGCCCTGTGGTGTCAAAGCAAATCTGCAATCCCAGGCTTTCCTTGACCAGCCCCAAACCCCAGCTCCTCCTAGCCATGCAAACTCACTTCCTCTTCTCCTCTGGGTCCGTGGGAATGGATTTGTGCAGCATTTCGAACTCCTCTTCGTGCTGGATGATGGATTTCACGTTGACTTGGACACCAGAGATCTTCAGGGTCGGACCCCTCCTTTTCCCAGGTCCCTTTCCTGCTCAACAACAACAAAAGTTCCCAGCTGAAAGCACTATGACAGATTGAAAAAGATGCTGGAAAAGGTGCAGATACGGTCAAGGACTTTATATGCCTCCCCTCATACTCTGTCGACATCGAGGGCCGGCTGGTAATGCCTGAAAAGCAGGGTCTCCTTTCACTCGGCGTGGCAGTGAATCATTTGTCGCACTCCAAGCAGGCCCACCAACAGGGGAGGCAAAGGCAGCAACTGCCCCGGGGCCTAGCCACTCAAAATGGACCAGGGCTCCTGGCCACTGCCACTACCACAGCAGCCAGGCCCTTTAAATTGCCGCTGGAGCCCTGCGTGGGGCACTCCGGCAGCTGTGAGGGTTGGTTTGGCCAGGGTGAGGGAAGAGAGTGGTCCGAGCACTGCTGAGGGCTGGCTGCTGTCAGCCACCTTCTGGGAGCATAGAGCCAGCCCCCCAGCCTTGCCCGGAAGCCCAGCAGGTCTTTCAATTCCCTTGACTCCAAGCCCCTTCCAAAGTCATTTGCTTTTGCTTAACTATAAATAAAACAGCAACGTTGCAGTTCAGCCAAGGTTACGCAGAGACTTAATGGCAAACCCCTCCCCCCTTCCTATAAATAAAACAGCAACGTTGCAGTTCAGCCAAGGTTATGCAGAGACTTAATGGCAGACCTGGCAAACCCCTCTCCCCTTTCTCTTCTCTAGATTCCCTGTTACTTGGGCCAACCACCACCACACTGCTTCCTAGAAAACCAGAGCATGCAGGGGCAACATACAGAGCTGTATATTCCTCAGATCTTGGACATACGTGCAGTGTATTTACTCAGTGCTCTGAGGGCACTGGCTCGGACAAGGTATGCAATGCAGGGTACATGCTATTGGTTTGATTCTAGCCCAGAAAGCAACTAAGATATGCTCCTGTCTGCTGACTGCTCCAAAGCCTAACATGAGATGAGTTCCTGGCTGTAGCCCATGCTGTAGAAATCCCCTGACGCCAGGCGCTAGGAGCACGTCTAGACTACACGGCTTTGTCGATGGAGCCATGTAGATTTGTTTATTAGGCAAAGGGAAATGAAGCCTAAATTAAATTAAAATGGCTGCCGCGCTGTGCCGATCAGCTGTTTGTCGGCACAGCGCGGTAGACTGGACGCTCCGCAGTCGACATCAAAGGCATTTGTCGACCTCCCCGGTAAACCTTATCCCACGAGGCATAACAGGGAGGTCGACAAATGCCTCTGATGTCAACCGCGGAGCGTCCAGACTACAGCGCTGGGCTCTGTCGACGGAGCCACGTAGTCTAGACGTGCCCAATCAGTCCCGGCTGACACTGTTCAGAGGGGAAGATTCAAGGCTTGGAGGTGGGAATAGCTTCTCACTGGCAGAGGCAGCACGGGTGACGTTTGTACTGTTCTTTGGTTAACAGACTACAGCCCCCGTTGCTGCCAATGTGGCGTTCCATCAACCCACAACTCGGATAGTTCTGTATCTGCATTTTGGCCCATCAACACCAAGAGCATCAGCTTGAGCCCCTTGCACTCACCGTCTCCTGGGTTTTCTTTCAGCTGCTCCTCGTATTCCTGCATTGCCGACACACAGCTGTTGTGAATAAGTTCCCCTAGACGCTTCAGATCCGCTATGGACTTGTCCACCAGCTCAGCATCGCGAGCAATGCACTCCAGCCTGAGAAGGGAAGAATTGGGAAAGCATGGCTCCACACCTGGCTGCTAGCATGGCTCAGAGACGCCGAGGCCAGCTACTCTGATTCAGTAGCATCTCCCTACGCAAGACACCATTTATAGCACTTAATAACCCATTCCGTACTGCACCCACTCCTCTTTCAGATTCAGGTGTCTGAAGCTTCCCCAGTCAAGCACATCACTTCCAATAGCATTTACACTGCTATAAATGGAAATACATTTTATTTTAAAGGAACGGTGGGGAGGGGGGAGGAGGGGAGAGAGAGAGAGAGAGAGAGAGAGAGAGAGAGAGAGTGTGTGTGTGTGT